CTAATTAAACTTACAAATTAAATAAAGATATTAATCATTCTATGATTTAATTAATTTAGACAGTTATTAGTAATTTGCTTAAACCTGCACATAATTCTTTTATCATTTATAATGTAATAAATTCTTTAACGATTTTAAAAAACTGATTACCTATTAATCCGTGATAAGAAATTGCCATCCTTTTTAATTCACTATGATATGATTTGATGGCATTTGTCGAAGTTATTTGTAAAAGGAGAGGGGAATGTTGACGGGCCCAAAGGGCCCATTGATTTGTATTTTTTGTGTAGTTTCGTAATATGTATTGTCTAACGGCAGGAACTTGACATTTATTCATTGCCTCCTTAATAAGTTTGTCACAGCTGATTTTTGTTACTTTATGCATTGCCTGGATCATCTTATTTCGAGTCTTTCTTTCATAAATCTTAGTTATTCAAGTGCGCATTACATGAACAGTACAAAAAATAATATTGCACTCCTGTTCGCCTTTTGATAAACCCGGAAAAGCTACTGAAATAGCATTAGCTTCTACATTGCTTTGGTTAGCAAGAAAGTACCAAGGCTTCCAAGAACGTTCAAACCGTCAGATTATTTGTAAAGCCTCTGCCACAGTATCACTATCCTCCTTACTTACATAAAAGTGCGCTCCCACATCCCAAGAGCCGTAATTGTCTCGATTATATAACGTAAATAAGCGCCTATCATACCTATTCATCTTATGTGTAGAATCTATTAACATTAATTATCCAAAACGTCGAAGCTTTTCTAACTGGCTTGGATGAACAAAAACGAACCCACGAGTTGATCGATTAAGAATTTCATAACTTTCTACTTGATATCCTTTGTTTTTTAAAAAAATAATAGATTCCTCGAAGTCTAAATCTATACTTCTATTACCAATAAGATTTACATTTTGTGATTTGCGAACTTTACTTTTAATATTAGAAACCTCCTTTCTTCTCAATTCTTTTACACTATCATTAAGATCTAGTTCTATGGTTGCATACTCTTTGACTACATTAACAATTGCTGGTGGTGGGTAATTCTTAGTTGCTTCCTTTTCTACTAACTCTCGAATATGCTGCAAACGTTTCAACTTCTCGCTTTCATCTATAGTATGAGCATCTTTTGTTCTGTAACTAATCGTAAAACTCTAATTTTTGCACTACATAGGTTTGGTGAATAGACTTTCGTTTTTCACCATTTTTCGCTTGGTACCCTTTCATTATGCGTACTCAATGGGTTGTGTTTAGTAAAACGGCATGAAAAGTTGTAAAATTATTACCGTTATTATGATTTCGAGAGCTATACTATGTCCAAATATTAGTAACAAGAGGCCACTATTCACTATCAAAGTTCTCGATCGGAACCTCAAATGACTGGCTCACATTAAAAAGGAGTGCACGCCTTTGGTTAGGGGTAAGTTGTAACGAAACGTATGCTTTAACTTTATCGTTTGAATAAGATATAACCTATAGTATTTTATAATAAATATAAAATCTTCTTAAATTACTAAAATAAAGCTATACGTACTATGAATGTTTCTATTAAGTTTTCCTTGTCACTTTCGAGTTCTATAATCTCAGTTATATTGTTCAAATCTTCTGCATTTCCAATGTCTATTTTATGGTAAACATAGTAAGTAGGCAGAGGTCTTAACTATATATAAAGAAAAAAAACGGCAGGTGTCTACTATTATTTGTAGTGGCAGATTATTTATATAAAAAAATAAACGTGTCTAATATTTGTAATACGTAGCTAAGGAGAAGAAAAATTCAATGTAAAAAAAAAGTTAAATATAATCCGTTAAAAAAAAATTCTATCAATTTATCCGTTAAAAAAAGATTCCATCAATTTATTATTATTTAAATAAAAGAAAAAAACTTTAAATAAAAAAAGCATTCTTGATAAATATATTATGTTAAAAAAAAAACCAACATTTGAAAAGTTTATTAACATTACTTTCATCATTTGTTCAAAAAAAAAAATATATATATATATATATTCCATAATTTTCCGATGGTCGTCGATCATCGGGTAGTCCCGTGATGTACCTGGCTTTAGCCGTCCCCCAAACTCGGGACTTGCCAAATGGGTTTTCGGTTATTCTGGTTCCTCGGATTTATTGCGCCAAAACTCCCATAACTAGATGGTATGACTGAGATTACAGATTTCTAAATCCAACTGATAATCGACAACCATAACACAGGCTATTTTTCAAAATTCGTCATCTGTGAGATTTGAACTCTAGACCTACCACTTGGAGAAGGTGACAACTAGACCACTACACTATTTGGATATTTATTTTTCAAAATATTCCATGTGGCTTTTATATTTACATTATCTGTAATTACACTAACAAATTTATCTATTCTAGCTTCTTATATTATATTGTCGATTCCTCTAGCAATATTTTCTACAGTATGGTGTTTGTCTTTAGTACAAACTAACTTATAAAAAATCAGATTAGGTGTAATTATTATATAATTTATTACTAGAGACTTATTGATATTTGACCAACTATTGTTTACTAAACAATGATAAAGTGTTTCATCAAGAATAGTTTAAACAACTTCTTGTTAATTTTTATATTCTTTATTTAGAAGTGAATTAGAAAGAACATGATGTGATGGTATATTAAAAAAAAGGACAGGCTTTTTTAAAAAAAGCTTGAAAAATCCATATTTTTTACCATGCTAAATGAAGCATCTGATGTATAAAAGGCACATACAAGTAAAGATTCCAATTCAATTTGGTCTTGCTTTGTAAAATTACCCAGTTTTGAGAGTTTTCATTTTTTATTAACATTTGAAGATTTATTTGTCTTGCACAAAGTGCATGTGTTTAAGTGTTCTTGTAATTGAGTAATATTTTTGCCCAATTGTTACCACATGCCTTGCATTTGTAATGTTTTTTACCATTTTTGTTAATAAACATAGTATATTTGTTCCATATGTTGGTATTTTTGGTTCAAACCATTCTTTATTGTGTTATAAACTAATTTTTCTAAAGATATATAATTTGCCTTTTATATAAGTGTACAAATGAACAAATATAATAGACTTTTTTATTACAATATATTTGATATATTTTTATTTTGAAATCCTGAAATCGGACCGATAATGTAATTTAATTTATGACGTAGCTATCATAGTTATTAAGAATTACCTGGATTAATATTAAAAAATTGGCCCGGATTCAATACACCAGCATTATAAAATTAGCCTACATTATGACTTGATTAAAATTACATGAAATTTTGATTTCCGAAGATTACACAAAATTTCGTAAAATAATACAAAATAACAGTAATTTTCCATCCCTAGCTATATGTAATCATACTATAGTTTTTTTATAAAAAAAAATTTGCAGCTATGTGAACACTAACATTAGGGTTAGGTTAGGATAAGATTAGAGTTAAATTAGAGTCAGGGCCGATGATTTTCTGCGGTCATGATAAAAGATGATTCAGCAAAAATTCTGCAATTGGCCAGAACATCAGGAAATTTTAAATATAGATAAGTAGCGATTACTATTAAATATTTGATAACTATTGATAATTCTTATCAATAGTTACTGGTATGGGTGATTATTAACGATAATTACCAATAGCGATTTAAATCTAATTGTTAAATTTCAATAGTCAACTCTTATCGATTGTTCTTGATAAATTATTTATTGATAGTAATCGATTAGGTAATCGATTTAAATCAATTACTGTTAGATTTCAATAGCCAACTTTAAAATAGTTTTTGATAAATTTTTCTATTGATAGTAATCGATTAGGTATTATCTAATCGATTTAAATCGATTACCTAATCGATTACTATCAATAGAAAATTTATCAAGAACAATCGATAAGAGCTAACTATTGAAATTTAACAATTAATGATTTAAATCGATAATGGTAATTATCGTTAATAATCACCCATACTGGTAACTATCGATAAGAATTATCGATAGTTATCAAATATTTGATAGTAATCGCTATTTATCTATATTCAAAATTTCCTGATGAATTACGTAAAGTCGGCCAGCATTATAATCCGCAAATTCTGGCCAAATTAATGTCAGCAAGCATAATGAAGACTTTAGATTCTAAATCCAATTCAGCAAGATTCAGTGAACGCAGAAAATCATTGCCCTGGTTAGAGTTAGGGTTAGGGTAGAGTAAAATTGCGAGAGGAGCATTTTTACTTAATTACACAACAGTGGTTACTCTGGTAAAATTTTGAGTTATTGAATACGGCTACATGTAAATTATTAAAACATATTTATTTATTATATATTAGGAAAAAAAAAAATACGTACTTAGTAAATTTACTCAAATACACTTGAAAACAACCTAAATAATTATATAATATATATTTGCTAATTTTATATACATGTTAGACACCATAAATAACAAAGCTAAATCAAATCTTGGAATTTATTAAATACAGTAGATTTATTTTATTGCCAATTAATATGAAAAATTAATACTATAGATACTATTAAAAGGTTTAAGATGATGTATAATTGTTAATGAAATGGTCATAAAAATTCGCAACAAGAATAAAAAAAAAAAAGAAAATAGAACAAAAAAAATTTTACTACAAAAAGAAAATAATAATTATAATAATAATTATGCTTATACGAAAAAGTCAATCAAAATATTAAGCAGAGGATTGGCCACCGGAATTAGATCGGAAGTGATCTGTAATTCCGAGATTGTTTTGACGTTGGTGTATCCTTCCATCTTGACCATCATTATTATCAGCATTGTCACCATCTCCCTCCGTTTCGGTTTCAGTTCCAGAAACATCATCATCCAATGTCCGTGAGGCAATACTTTGTGAATCATCATCTTCAGTAGTATATGATTCAGTAGTGTAACTTGTTTCACCAACTTCAGATGCAAGTCTGGTGACAGATGGAGATATTACAGAAGCAGGACGCGACTATGACGATAATTAAAATAGAAATTATTAACTATTATAAAAATAATAAGAATTCAACAAGTGATAAATTACCGGTTCATCATCACTATCCGTTTCAGTTGTTACACCACCTTCAATTGCATCACTACGACGAATTTCTTGCCATGTTCCATAACCATCATCTTTACTAGTAGTTCTATCATCCTGAGTATCACTGGGACCGGGTGTAATTTGAGCAGGCTCAGTGCCCATCGGAAATTTACTCTGCCACCAGTTGACAAACGATCTCCAAGCAATAACTGAAAAGAATATTTCCCAGGAAAGAAAGAGAGACATGAAAAAGACTGCAGCCGGCATTGAATAATAATACATAAAGTAACTAAAATGAAAAAAATATATATGTTAACTTGATATAAAAGTGTACTTTATAAGGAATGATATAATCAAAATTAAAAATACCGTAAGCCTTTAAAGTGAGCATCTAATCGTATTTGAGCACTATAGACTTCAACTTCAGGATTGTGAACACCGATGATAGCTTTTGTGATTGGAGCATCCTGAAATAAACACAATAGAAATGACATTAATACCTATAAAAAGAAATGGATTAACGATAATACCCATTTTTTTTTCAACTTACAGAATCTTCAATCAGATTTTCTATCATAACAACTTCTAATCGTTGATCTTCTTTAGAAAATCCCGCCAATAAAGGAATCAACCGCCATATAGTAGAAAATATTCGGAGCATTTTTGATTGATATGTAAGAATGCACTATTATAGAAATATTACATAGAAAATATTATTTAAAAACAATATAGTCGTAAATTACACACACCAGTAATCTACACTTACGGGTCTACTGGACGCTATAACCGTTTTATTTGCAGTGCTAGACCAAAGTTCTAGACTGATCATAAAATTTCCTGAAAGCAAGTAATATCAAATGAATAAAAAATTAACATTCTTATTAAAATCAATAGAATTTTCGTTGAATATTTAATTATGAAAGTAACTATATATATAGTACATCACTTACCCAAGCCAATATTTCTTTCGGATGCAGGAACGTGTAAGTCAATTGAAGCATCATAAGCTTGACCTGCAGTCAGAAACTATCAACAACAAAACAAAAATATTATTTACAATTGAATAAAATTAGATCAAAATTTTGAATAACTTGCTTACTTGTGCGTATTGTCCACCTTCACTAAAGTCCACCTCGCTATTTGGATATTTGCCGGTGCTGTACGCATTATTAAATATTTCCAAAGAAGGTTAATTAATTAATTTTAATTTATCGATAATTTACAATAGATCCAAAAGAACCAAAGTACATACTGGTATTGTAGATAAATGGGTTTTACGTGTGCTATTTTAGGCACGTACAACATATAAAAGCATAAATATGCAACTAACGCAGTAGCGATTAGCGCTACAACCACGAGGCCGACAAAAATAGCTTTTACTGCGGTGCGTTGAGTTTTATGCGAAGTCAACGCATCGGTGAATCGAGACAGGTAGGGGTCGAAAAGGGACAAAATTGGAGAAAAAAAGAAGGATAAGATCTATAAAAGTAAAAGAAAGTTTAACATAAAGAATAAAAAAAATACCTTTACACTATCGAAAACCTTACCTCCAACAACATCGTATTAGTTATTATTTTTTTTGGATTATGTTAATTTTTTTAGAGAGAAAGTGGTTTGTAATTTCGATTTCCTCACAATTAAAGGATATATCTCTTGACTATTACGTAACGACATGTGAAAATGAACTAAGATCACACGCAGATCACACGCGTTGACATATCCGGCAATTAGGGCAATTACAAAATTAACAATCACCTGATCTTAGTGTAACTAATTAATACAGTAATAATCTAATTTCTTAATTTTATTTTTATATATAATATGATCTACTACATGTTTCGGGTGAAAAAAGATGATAACAGGAAAAATTTTCAATAATTATATTTTTCTAAAAAGAACCTAACTCAAAAAAAAAAATATAAAAATGACTATATATCTATGAAATATAATAATTCAAAAAATTTAACCAAATTATCTACATAAATGAAATTGTTTATAATTAAACTTGTAATGTAATTAAATTATGAAAAAAAAACAAAACTATAAAAATATATCATTTGATTATATTCTATTATATTCTATTTCTACTCTATTTAAGATTCTTCATTAGTTTGCCCATTGGCGGTTCCTTCAACCGCAGATTCTGACTTCTCATCATCAACTTTTTTATTAATCACTTTTCCTTCCAAAGCAGCGATCTCTGCCTCAGCTTTGGCAATATTTTCTTTGGTCACGCGGTCTTGGTTTTCGGAGTAATAGTTTTTCTTTTCAGTAAGTTCAGTAATGACTTTTTCGACGTCAGAAGGATTAAGAGGAATTTCAACTTTAAGGAAAATCAAATCTTCCATAATACTGAGAGGAAGTTGAAGCCTATTGGCATTATTAGCATTAGTCTTGCCAGTCTTTTTTTTCTTTTGAGATTTAACCTTTTTAGATGATATATCCCCAAATAAATCTTCTTCACGTTCAAATTTTTTTGCTAAAATACAACCTTCTGGAACATTAGAGGTAGTATCAGGCTGACGTATATTAGAGTTACTATCATCGGGAATTGAATTAGAAATTACTTCTTCAGTTTTACCAACTCCATGGTGAGTCTGGAAGTAATTAATAAGATTTTCACAAACAACTATCTCTTCTTGAAAAGCTGGAGCTGATGCTTCTTCTCGTTTACTAGCAACAATTTGGGTTCTCTTTAATAATTCTTGTTCTTCTTTCCTTTTTTTTTGTAATTCCCTTTTTTGACGACGATCTTCATCCACCTTTTGCCAATACTCTTGTTTGGCCTTATTATATTCATCTTGAAGAGTTTTTCTATTGGCAAATTGAGCATTAATCTGTTCACGTATTCTTTTTTTCTCGTCAAATAATTCATTCCTTTTTTCTCTATCCATAGCTTGATCTTTATTGATAGTATCAAGTTCAGCTTTTATTTTATCATACTGTGCGCTGGTTTCTTTCAAATCATTATCATCAAGTTCTTTTCTCATATCATCAATAACTTTTTGTTCAGCGTCAATGGTAGCTTGTTGCGCCTCAAAAGTTTCAACAATTTTTCTTGATTTTTTAAGGCTGGACATATCCGAAATAATTTTCTTTTCATCAACAATTTTTAAAGTACCTGATTCAATTTGCTTCTCTAAATTTCTATTGTTCATAATAATTTTTTTTTTTAATTTGTCATTGTAATTCAAATAAAAATCAATTATTCATAAAAGAATTAAAATAAAAAGTTTACTTACGAAATATGATTATCAATATCCTTGACAGTTCGGAATTGAAGCTTATCCTTAGAAGATTTAAGATCTCTTTTCTACAAAAGTGTAAAAAATCATATTTTTGTTTAGTGAAATGTGTAAAACAGTAATAATTAATATAATATAGCCTTGTAAGAACAACTTTACCTTCTTTTGTAAAGAATCAGTCATGCTTTTAAGAAGATCATATTTTTGATAGCGTTTTTTCTTCATTTCAGCTTGCTTTCCACGAAGTCTATCAAGTTGAGCTCGAAGTTCTTCACGTTTTTGAGATACAGGCGTATTATCAGAAGTATTATTGATTTTTTCGACCACATCATTCTAAAAATCATAATTTATTGAAGAAATTAATCTCTCATACATTTTTAATTCAAGCGTATGAAGGTCACGAAAATTCGAAATTTTATACATATAAAATTGCAGATCATCTGCCTCAGATGAATGCGTACAAGCACCTCACTTTTATGTAAAAGACGAAGTGAAGTTGAAAAATAAACTAAAAAGTTTTAAACTACTCACAAAATCTTGTTGCAATTTCTCAATCGTTGCCTTCACTTCATCAAGCGCTTTTTTGTAGGTCTCTTCATTGGGCTTTGTAGGATATTTTAGCGAGCTTTTTTTCGCGGTTACTTCGTTGTCAGATCTTGCTTCTGGAACGGCGGCGGAGGCAGGCATCGTAATGGATTAAAGTTCGAAAAGAATAAGCTTTTGGTATTTATTATAAACGCGGTAATGCAAGCGCCTTTTTTTTTTTTTTTGATTTATGCAGCAATTCAGCAATTTAGTTAAAAAGTCATTATGCATATGATTTATATCTTGGTTCCTGAAACATCTTTCTGTATGACAAATATTAGTTCGCTTTTTATTGGAGATGATAAATTTAAGTATTACTATGGCAAATAAGTAACCTATAAGCTGATTTATTCTAATCTTGGTAATTGTTGGCTGGAGTTAAATCGGTTGTGATCAGGGCACAAAACATAGTTTAGATATTTTGTTCAATTTTCTTTGTACATATTTTAAACCGGTTTTTACTATATTTACTGTACAAGTTTTTGCGCCCTTGGTTGTTACCCCTAAATAATTAAGAGGCGAAGTGAATATTTGGATTACATAACTTTTTTGAATAGGTCAATCGGGTTCTATCAGTTATAAAGCTTGTATAGGTAGGCCTTTACACTTGATTGATAACGAATTGTACCGATTAGAGTTGTCAAGACAAAATAGCATTAAACTTTTTATTATATAGTGTAAATAGTTAAAAATATTTCGACTATATATCTCTTAATATGTATTTTAGGCAAAATTTTCTTTAAAAAAATTTTAGTTATAGCTTAATTTGATATATAAATATTTTTAAAAATTTTTAAAACTTTAAACAAAAAAAAAATACGTATTTAAAGTAAAAATATTTTAATAGTTACTTTTTCTATTTTTGTAATTATCTAAAACTAAAATTAAAATATATATACAGTAGTTTATATGTACTGTACATATACAATATACAGTATATACTGTTTATTATATTTTATTACATTTTTATTATTTATTTATTAAACAAAATTATAAGTTTTTTAAAATTTAAATAAAAATATTTTAATAACTATATATTTTTATTATAATATACTGTATAATTATAATAAAAGTTTTTTTATTAAATTTGTTAAAATATTTTTATTTAAAATTTTAAAAATTTTAACAAGTTTATTAAATTATACTGTATACTGGTATTTAACATCATAGTAATTTTATATATTATAAGCTGTAGTGTAATATAAAGATTAGATGTAATATAAATTTTGGTTTTTTTATTAAAAAAAAAGTATGATTTAAAATTTTATTTATAAACCTATTTTTTAAGTTTTAACAAAAAAATTTCTTGTAAAACTTAGTATAAACTAAGCCACTGCCTTATTTTAGCCTTTAACTTCAACCCTAATTTTAATTAAAGTTTTAATTTTTGGTTTGATAAAATTATTTTAATTTACTGTATATACAGTATTACATTGCAACTTATTATTGCAACTATAAAATATTGCACTAAAATACAATATATACAGTATATAATTTTTTGATTAGGTTTTTGAATAACTATTTACAGTATTTTTTTTAAATTAATCAAAATTCTTAATTTTAATTAGCTAAAAAATAACAAATAAATAACAAATAGTTTTATAATATACTTGGTTTTAAATAGCTTTATATACTATATATATATATATATATATTATTAACTTTTATTTATAATTAAAAAGTATTAACTACGTACATTAAAATTTACAAATTATATATAATAAAAATTTAAAAATTGTTTTTATTTAGAAATCAACGAAGGCGATATATTTGTCTTGATTATTATTATAGGTTTTATAGAACTTTTTTATTTTAAAATTTTTATGTTGAAATTAGACTTTAGGTTAAGATTAAATCCAAATAAAAGCTAAAGGTTTAGGGCGTTAACCGTTTTTACTTAGTACTTCAAACATTTATTACTGATACTGTTCTTGAGATAGCATACCCAGTGAATTTTACCTCCGGTGAGTATTAATAAGTTTTATAATTTTAATCTATTTTTTTTTTTTGATATTTTAACTTCAAAATTTGAAAATATGTAAGTTAATATATAAGTTGAAAATAATAAATATTTTTTTTACTTATATTTTTGACACATAACTGATAAATTAATATTTTTGCTCGTCATATTGATATTTTTTCAAGATCCTACTTTTCAAATAGTAGACCCACCAAGTACTAGGTTCGGGTGCGAATTACAAAGTTTTCTTTATTGAAATATAATTCTTTTCTTATATATATTTACTATAAATTTCATATTATAAAATACAAAGTATGTAAGTATTTCAAATTTTTACTTTCCATAATATAAACTCTTAGCCATGTACTATATCTGATATACTAGGGTTTTTTAAATTACTGTAAGGTGTGATGAAATGTATATGTGAAAAATATATAATGCATGACGAATAGGGTTATGCGGACCAGTCAGATATAATATTTTGCCAGACGAACGCCATTTAGATTGACAAATTGACATCTAACCATACACTTCATTGCATTTACGTTCCTAGAATTCAATTAATTAATTGCATATATATATATATAAGATGTTATTAATTTCGTTTTTTCGTCAAGGGATAAAGTCAATCAAGGCAGTTTCATTCATTGGTACTTTTTCAGGACATAAGACAAATAATGTAGATTCTATTCAACGATTTACGTTCTTAAAAGAAACAAAGTAAGAAAAGGCGAGAAAGTGTAAAAGAAAAGGATCAATCAATCCAATGTATCAAATACATAGGTATATCGCGTCGAAATTGATGATCAGTTGCTTTCCAAGTTTCATTCTCCGATATACAGTATGTACAAATAAATCTACCACCATCACTAATGAAAAATAAATTATAGCGGAATGCTTTTCCGAATAAAGCTCAGCCTTTAATAAACACCAAACCTATTTACGTATTCATTGATAATTCTGAATTTTTTATTGAAGGAAAATATGCAATTGCCAAACTCGAGAATTTGGGCATATTTGACAATAAAAGAGATTCTTCATGTTTTAACCAGTTTCGTATTGATCATGGTAAACTTCTTGTAACAATCCAAGGCAATTGTAGGTTGGGGTGATGAACCAGTATTTTTGGATCACGTTTATCACTTAGAGGCATGTTAAAGAACAGGGGCATAATGTAATGAGTGCTGCCAAGGCAAAACCTGTAAGCAAATATTTGAGGTATCAATAAGGCGAGTTTAATCCTGATACTACGTATTAAATAATTGTATAAAATTTGTATACAATGATTTAATACATAATATTTTCCCAGGAATAAACTCGCCTTATTGATACATCAAATATTTGCTTACAGGTTTTGCCTTGGCAGCATTCTAATAGTATTCAATCGAAAATTTGAAAATTGTGAAAATAAGGTTAATAAGGCATTAGTGAATACTTTGATAAAGTAATTTTCACTAAGAGTCCTGGAGATAGTATCTATGACCCAGTAATAGCAACTGTCATTGAACTTAATTGGATAGTTGAAACATGGTTCTGGAATATGGGTACGAAATTGTCGTGTTTAAAAGTAAGTCACAAAAGTTACCCGACTGATGAATTTGATTATCCTCCATAGGAATGTCCGGTGAACTTAGAAACAAGACAATTTTCACACTCTAGACAATTATTATAAGTCCTTTGCGCAGGGTTGCTGGTGCAGGCATAATTTTAATTGTGCACCATGGCGCGCCATTAAAATTATGCCTGCACCAGCAATCCTGGCCTTTGCGTATGTATGGTTTTGGACCTAACTTTACAAGGAGTAATCGAGCTCTTGAGGTTTCTGGTTATACACTTCGGAATTGGGGAACAAAGAAATGATTGGCATATTCGCTCTTTTAAATGTATTCGATTGGTGGAACCAGATAAATGATCACTTATATTTTAATAATAAAAAGACGCAATTGCAATTGGTAAAGAAATAGTCCATATGAATTACAAATTAAGGAAAAAAGTTTTTTTTTTGCTTCGTAAAGCATTATATACTTTGAGTCTGTTAAGATGATATGATATAGAATAGCTCAGTTTTACAGTAATTATCACGAAAAACATGATAAGGATGTTAACAAACCTACAATTAGGAGATGAAAAATAAATTGAAGGGTAGCCTTATGATTATTAGTATTTCTTTTTACACTTTACAAGTGTTTTATATGTGGAAGTTTTATTTCTTTTCCTCGTATACGTATATAGTATGTTGTGAGTGGATACGAAATAGCTATAGATTCAGAATCCAATTAAGTGAATTCGATCTTTAAAAAAATTTAAGTGGTTATGGCGATCACATCAGTAATACGTACGAAAATCGTTTAAATTTAATAATATATTTTAAATAAACGATTTTACTTTAACGTTAATGAATTAATTTATTTCAAAAACTTTCATAACCTAAAATATTAATCTAAGAATATTATTTTGCAAGTTTGATAATTTGGTTAATAAAAAAATCTTTAGGCCTTTGTTTTACAAAGTGACTATGATTTTATTATCGTAGTACTTCATTAATCCAATTATACAAGTCTAGGGATCGATACTGAGTTAATTAGGAACTAAAACAAATCCAGATACTCAAATACAATCACAAAATTACAAAATGGGAATGAAAAATCAAATATGAGTAAATAATAAATATCCTCTTAAGTATTCTATCAAGGATTATGTATTATTAAAATAAATCATTATTAGACATGTGCAAAATGAAATTCCAAATACTACAGTACCTATGATGTGAATGTATGAATTAACTTATGGCATTTGCATGTACTAATCGAGTATAATAACTTGAAGTTTACCAAGTTAAAGTTGCGAAACCATAATAGTAAGGCCTACCTTTATCGTGACTGGTACAATTTTGTAAGTGTCACCCATGATTATTACATTATATATTTTTATGATTATTATTATTATTATTATTATTATTATATATAAACAAATTGATTTTCCCTTGTTCACCTTAAATATTCAATTTCCATTTATATTTTGTTTTAAGAATTCCGAACACTGTATCTGCATACAGTATACGTATAATTCCCAAAAGCTTAGTTTAAAAAAAAATAGCATTAATTATATATGTATGTATATTAATATTTATAAACTTTTTTAAGTTACGTATACGTATTAATTATATATTAGAAGTAATGAAATTACGTATCATGATGGATCGTCTATTCGATTATCTAAATGGATAAAATATTGTCAGATAACTAGATAATCTGTTTATCATCCAAAACATCTACAAACTTGATAACTGCGAAAATGGACTATCCGTTCTTTCGATTAAACGAAACAAAGCCTTAATGTTAACGAAATAAATAAATAAAGTTAATCATGTGAAACATGTAAAGTCGATCATATTTATAAATTGCGCACTACTGTTTAATTAATCTATATAAATAAAGAAAATTTTAACTTGTAAGAAATACCGGCAATAGCTCAGTTGGTAGAGCGGGAGACTGTAGTGAGGAAAACCTCAACGCTGATATCTCTAGGTCGCTAGTTCAAATCTGGCTTGCCGGAACACCAAAATTTTTTATTTTATTTTTATTGATTTTTTTATTGATTTTATTGAGCTGGATTAATACCGGTGAATTATAATTTTGACTAACTTGATATCATAGACCCATAACGATAATGGTAAGGACCAATCCAAAATGTACAGATATACTACATTAATAAAAATAGATCGCAAATCGTATTGGCATGTATCACGTGAGTACTGGGAGTACGTGAATCAGGGACGCTGATTTTTTTTTTTTGGATAACGCAAAATTTTTGGATTTAGCCGGCATTAAGAAATTAAATTTCATAATTCGGGCCATGTCATGTGATTCATGTGACTTTGAATTATTGCCCAAAATTTCGCCATTCCAAAATTCTCGAAATTTTGAATTTTAACAATCAGATTATAGCGCTTTGCAAAAAGATGTGAACATGTGATTTTAGTGATGATGATGGCTGAGAATCACTAAGATTCCAGATTGTCTGCTACTTTATATTTTAAGATTAGTTACGTTTATATTTCTTTGAAATCAGTTTAATTCTTAAAATCTCAAAATTTATAAAACCTCCGATTCTCACATGAAAAAATGTTCTGCAGTGTTCACATCTTTTTGCAAAGCGCAATAATAGAAATTAATAGATAACGTGATCTGTAACCAATCAAACCGCATAAAATTTTGGTTTTTTATGGATAATCCTGAAAATTATGGATCCATAATTTTCAGCGTCCCTGACGTGAATATGACCGAGATGCAAAGCGCGTACGTACCATTCAAAATGTTCGTTCTATGTAGCCCGGAAATTCAGGGTCTTGAATTATTTTACTCGTGTTGATTCTTTTTATGAATGCAGATATCATTTATAATAATCTAATCAGTTAAGTTTATTTGTTCAATATCAGAATATTGCTTGAACCAAATTTATTCGTTGTTCTCAAGCATCTAAATCAATTGTTCAGATAATAATCGTGATGACGTTCAAGCATCACAATTGATGACGATATTTATAGAATTAAATGTTTGAGCATACTTTTTCTGTTTTTCGTAATGTTCGCTATACTTCCTAAAAAACCTAATGAAAAAATTTATTTTCGATCAACCGTTAAAGTTTCAACTTTAGTTACGTCGGCTCCTCTTTTAATGATTTTACCAATTTAAATTTCTTTATTATTCGTCAAATATGGAAAAACGTCTACCCAAACTTTTCAGTTTTAGATCTTCTTTGCTGAGAAGATTTTGAATTTAAAATGGAATAATAGTATTATTATGGTTTGGTTAGACGTTAAAAATTTGTTGAGATTTAATTATTTATTATGTTTGATATGTAAAAAATGTAAAAGTAATGCTTGAGCGAGCTTTATCATTGATGAATTTTTAAAGAAAAAAGGTGGGTTGTGTCTCGCTGATTTGTTCATCGAAATGGTAACTCACTTGGTTATTTTAATTTCTGACTAATTAAAAATTTACTTCCGATCCATTGAGTAAAGTGCTTGAGAACGCCCTTAGTCGGGTGCAAGTGCAATTTCAATTGAAAATTTGGCAATTCAATTTCTTAATCATGATTATTTAGTTGGAATACGAATAAAATTTAAGTTCATTGTGATCAGAATCTAGCATTTTAATTATTTACTTTTTTACGCACAAGTTATCGTTTTTTCGGTTCACATTGATTTATTTGGATAAATATTACCCATGTATTATTGGAATACCTCTGAAATATATTTAATGAGATTAAAAATTTACAAATCAAATTTTTCTTGTAATAAACTCATTTGATTAGTGGAGATAAAAATTATGAAATACACACTTTATTACAATACGCCCGCACTATTTCACATTAGTATAATCAGGTCGTAGGTTGAAGATAACGACAAGTAATTCAAGATTCTCGCACAATTAATATATATATATATATATTAGTAAATTCAAATGGAATAGACCTGGTTTTATTCGAATATCCGGTTCTATAATAAATATATATATATATTCAGTAGATATAACATGTAAAAGCCTATAATTAAGTGATATGAATTATATATATATTTTTTGGAAGGATATTTCCGATTGGAGCTTCATTCAGTGGGTGAAAAGTTTCATTAGAAGAGCCTCAGTTACTGAAATCCAGGACCATTCTGGTGAACAATGTTTACGGTCGTTATTCTACATTAGTTATGTAATGCTTTTTTTTTTTTTTAGCAACACCGTATGTTATAACAATCCCAGTGTTAAAATTATTAGTTATATGAGTCTAAAGTTAATGAGTTTACTACAAGTGCTTAACACGGTAAATATATTAATATTTTAGTGATTTTATTTTATGCCACAAAAAAAAGGTATTTTATTGACTGGATGGAGTAAAGAGTGCTTGTGGTTAGTAATTTATGTTTAGAGTTTCTTATTCGAATAAATCTTCCTGAATAATTATTGGCTGAGGTTTCAAATCATTCTACGAAATTTCAAGAATGTTTTGGTTCTCTTTGCTGATTTAAATTCGACATTCATAAATTGAACTTAAAGATACCAAAATTTTGAGTTTCAATAAAAAGATTTTATCGACTAATTTCTTTGGTAATCTTGAAAAAGTATTCCTTCACTGCCTAAGTAGCACTCAAAGATGAATAACTATACTTATTGGCTGCTTTATAAAATAATCATATCAAATACAAGATACACAGTATACAGTACTGTATCGTGTATCATTTAATAAAAAATAAATTGCATTAAATGAGTATTTCATTATGCCGCAGCAACTTAAATTACACGGAATTTTGTCTGATGCTAAATTTCCTAATTCTTTTATATTGTGATGTGTTTGACAGATTTATAAGTTTTGGTTTTTGAGATTTTGAGATTTTCATTTTTTTTTTCTCATCTCTAGTCAAACGAAAAAAAAAGCTTCATAATGTCCGACGATAATTATATTGATCTATCATCCATTACAGATCCAAGCGACTTTCCTCAGGCATCACTAAGATTTCTTGACACTCTTCCGCGTTGTTCAGTTTGCAAGGACTTTTTTAACACTCCAATGATTGCTGAGTGTGGACACGTGTATTGTTCTCTTTGTATTCGACGATGCTTAAATATGGAACAAGTTTGTCCTGTTTGCCGTGCAAACATATCAGAACCGCAATTATTCAAAAGTCCTGACACCGAAAATCTTGTACAAGCATGGATAAACATGAGGTTCAATACATTACTTTTTTTTTTTTTCTTTTTCTTATAAATTTTTGATTTACATGTCTTTTATGCAGGCAAACATTATTACAAGGTGCTCTTGAGGAAGAAAAAATTTCTTCCAAAAAAAGCGGGAACGTTTACCACTAAAACAATATCAACAAGTGAACAATTTAATGCTAAAAGAAAGCATTTGCATGTACCAGAACCTACCAAATCATTTTTTGAACAATAAGGGAAGGTAGGGTATTATGACACACTAAAGAGTTGTTTATATAAATAAAAATTTCCAGAAAGAGTATGAAATTTGAAATAGATTACTTATCGAATTAACTATCTACCAATAAAAAAAAAAAAAGGTTTAAAATATGAACTTTCAAAATCTATTCAAAAAAATGCTATGTTTTTTACATTTGGGAGGACTTTGTATTGCTGCATCCTTCATTACCCAAATGAGAGAATACGTATAAAATAAAAATTAAAATACTGGTATAAGTAATATCTTCTTTTACTTATATCTTGCGGTTTAGCAATTGGAATCAAAAAACATTTTTATATTATTTGATTCGTCTCAGTAAGATGAATCGAATGGTACTAAAATTTTTCGATTCTAATCAGTTCTATCATCAAAAAACACAAATGCGTCAAATTACCCACCTGTCATAATGCCCTACTTTCCCTTATACGTTATATGATTTTAACATTAATACGTAATAATTTACTTATTAACGTCAATCTTCTGTTGTGATCAAAAAATTATATCACGAGATTTTCTCATGCAATTAAAACAATACTATGAAATTAAGGAATGATCTGATTATCTTTATAATCAAGTATTAATTAACGTGTTAACCTGAATTTTTGAAATTCTTACGTTCTATCAAAATGTCACTTAACATTCAGTTTCTTCAGTTGCTTCAAGGTAAGTTCGAATTTTATGAATATGTAAAATTTAACTTTTATTAGTTATTTAGCCATTTGCATAAAAATGAACGCTCGTCTACTATACTTTTAATAACTAGAAAGTCAAATTATTACGGCAGCTATTGCTGTTTTCGCTATTATTGGTGCTTTTTTCATTTCATTAAAAACTTTAAGTTTTTTAAAGCTGATAATTGACGTTTATGTTCTACCTGGAAAAAGTGTATATATTATATTCTTTTATATTTTCTGTTTAACTTTTTCGTAATACCCCGACACTTACAAACTGAGTATCGGATTTTTTATTTTGATTAAATAATAACGCGTAACTCAGTTATAATTATACTTATTTGGGTTTATATTTATATTCACAGTTAAAGGATTTTGGTGCTGGAAAAGGCGCCTGGGCTGGTAAGTTATTTCACGTCTATTACATATATACACATATATATTACTAAAAAAAGACGTATTCTTTTGTAATAGTCGTTACTGGCGCGTCTGACGGCATTGGAAGAGAATATGCTATGCAACTAGCTGCTGCTAAATTTAATATCCTTTTGGTTTCTCGTACTGCATCCAAATTAAAAACTTTGAGGGATGAAATTGGTTCGTATTTACTGTACAGGGGATACCATGGGTTATCGAACGGTTTATTTTTAAATAAATTTAGGGCGTTTTCAATAAAAAATCTGATTGGCAAGTTTTATTAAACTGATCAATCAGATTCTTTATTGAGTCCATTGAGAGAACACCCTTAATTATCAATAACTAGTAATTCAAATTTAATTATTTTGATACCATTCGATTAGTCTCAATGAGACGATTCGAATGGAATGGTACCAAAATTAAATTTATTTAAATAATAGTGATCTAAATTAACAATTTTGGTATCATTGGATTCGTCTTGATGAGACGATTTGGATGATACCAAATTTTATAAAAAAGAGATCATTTTAACAAGGGTAAATTTTGGGGGTTAATATGTAAAAAAAAGTTATTACCATATAAATAGACCGATCGGTATCCCCTGTATTTGTCTATTTTTCTTACGTTAAGTTAATAATAAAATATTTTAATTAATATTTTAATTTAGAACAAAAATATGAAGTTGATACAAAGATGTATGCTATGGATTTTACCAAAGGTACTCCAATGGATTATGGAAATTTAAGGGATATGATTGAAGAACTTGACGTTGGAGTGTTGATTAATAATGTTGCTACAAATCATGAGATTCCAACACCATTTTATCTTGAGAGTGACGAAATTATTCATAATATTGTTGAAGTTAATATTTCTGGACTTTTAAAAGTTACCAAGATTGTATTATCGAAGATGCTTCCAAAGTTTGTTTTTCAATTAATTGTGTTTTATCGATTTTTTTTTTTTTAACCTTTCAAAAAATCTGAATTTTAAAATTATTATTATTATTTCATTCAAACTATAGCAATCGAGGACTTATCATTAATTGTGGGTCATTTGCTGGGTCGGTTCCTACTCCATATTTATCAGTATATTCCGGTTCAAAGGCCTTTATGAATCAATGGTCACAAGCTATAGGTGCAGAACTTAAATCAAAAGGAATTATCGTTGAAAATGTTAATACTTATTTTGTGGTATGATTCTTTAAATTAAAAATTATTTATAAATTTAATTCAATTCTTAACTATCTTACTAATTCTCATTTCTCGGTTGTAAAATCTTTTGATATATATATATTTTTTAATAAGGTATCATCCATGTCAAAAATTCGAAGACCGTCTTTATTAATTCCATTACCAAAACCATATGTCAAATCTGTATTATCTAAAATTGGAATTCCAGGAGGGGCTTCCTATTATCCTTTTAATTCTAATCCATATCCTGCTCATGCGCTTATTAACTGGTTAATTTCTAATACATTTAGTTGGAGTTTCTGGGTAAATTATACACTTGGTATGTGTTGATAATGATTGTTTCATACATAAGGTAGACAGGGGTAATTTGGCGAATAGGGGTAATGTGGCGAAAAGTAAATATCTCGTAATCCCTTGATCAAAATTAGTCAACTTTACCACCATTCGAATCGTCTCACCGAGACGATTCGAATAGTACAAAAATCGTTTAATCTCAATCACTGGTGACATCCGAATATAATATATTAATTTTTTTTAAAAAAAGTTAATATATTATATTCGGACGCGAATCGTCTCAGCGAGACGAATCGAATAATGGTAAAATTATTTGATTTCGTTCATGGGATCACGAGATATCTGCAATTCGCAAAATTACCCCTATACCCTCTTCTCAAGGTTGGCAATGGATGGAGCCAATGATACTAATGGAGAACCTAATAGAGTTAGTGGAGAACCCAGTGGAGATAATGGCTCCAATAGAAATATCCAACAAAGCCGATGAAGAATAGGGTTCTAATCTCTAGCCTCATATACCAATAGCTAATAAATAGGTCAAACGGATCAATGTCAATAGAGTTGGTTGGCTTCCATTGACTCCATTCAGAAATTATTCTCAATGGAGTAATGGAGCAATGTCAATGGAGTTGTTCTCCATTCGTCCCGATGGATAAATGTGCCAACCCTGACCAGGGGTAATTTAATCACCTCTATTTTTTTTAGGGTTAAAGTCCAATTTTATATGAAATATAGGTTTATATAACATAATAAAATTTAATATAAAGGTCCAAATTTTGTTATGCATAAGGTTTTTGGGGTTCTGAACATTTTTACTTAGAACCTCTAACTTTAATTACTTAGTACGTTTTTGAGATTTAGCATCCCGGGCAGGGTTGGCAATGGAGCCAATGGAGGTAAATGGTGAGCTCAAAAACCTAGTATCCATCGGCTCCATTAAGAGCTCCATTGGGCCCCATTGAGCTCTATTGCCAGGGTAATTTAACTTAGGGATATGAAAAGTTCGGTTCGGTTCGACTCGGTCCCAGGAGTCGAACCTTAATTTAAACTCGGTCTGGAGTTAGACTTAGACAAAGACTCATTCTATCATGTGAAATTTGTGATACCATGTGATTTATTCAAGTAATACAAGATTAAGCGCGGTTTTATTAAAACGCACTTATGATATTTTACACTTATACATACATTATCTCAAACTGGCTAATCTATGTGTTCTAAGTAAAAATATTTAAAAAATATAATAAAACGTATGATAGGTGCAAAATCACCATAGGTGCGTTTTATATTCATTCTGAAATACTAGCACTAATAATGATTTATCTAAAATACTAGCACTAATAGTGTTTTATTGGCTTCAACCCAGTTTTTCAAGAGCAACAAAGCTTTTACTGTTTGCTCTAAAGGGCATTTTCTTGTAGGCTTGATAGTATCTTTAGCCAGAGAGAGTGTGCTTTCACAAGAAATAGTAGCTTGTAAAGAAAAGAAATCTGCCACAATAGATGCTAATATTGGATATTTATAGGCATTGTTTTTCCACTATGAAAGAGTATTGAGTCCCGGTTCACTAGGTAAGGTGAGATAAGAATCTACCTCATTTACTAGGTTTGCTTCACCATTTTTACCTACTATTAATTCTCTAAAAAATTTCAATAGATTTTCCATCTGAGGTACTTCATCCAATTGCTTTAATTTATGCTGTAAATAGATAACTCTTAACTCATTATTAGCTAATTTTTGATTACTTTTGTCGAAGACTTCGAATTTAATCGACGGATTGAGTAGAGTAGGCATAGTAGAGAATTTCAAAAGGTTGTACCAATACTCTGTTATCCTGTTACTCATTTCTTTTGCTGCTTCATTAATAAAAACATATTGATTAAGATGTGATAAAAGGCTTCGAATAATTATTCGTATGCCTTCATAAAAGGGTTGTAGGTCGCAGGAAAATACTGAAATCACCATATGGAATGGCTTAAGGATTTCTATCAGTTGTTTAATTATTTCCCAATTTTCAGATTTTAAATAGATTTCTTTTATATCTAGACGGGAGCTAGCAAGTATATCAGTAATAGGTCAAACTTTAATAAACTATTCAAGTATCAGATAAGTGAAGCACTACTCTTTATTTATGTTGATTTTAGGATAAAAAATAGTTGATTTAATGAAGCTAAAATTTTTTCAATTTCTCTTAAAAGTAGAGGTAAATTTATTAATTTATTATAAAAATGGAGGGTCTTATTAATTTGGTTATTATAATTTTTTTGAAACTCCTTGACCGCATAATTAATAGCATGCGCTACACAATGAATGAACCTAAAGTCAGAACTTATAGATGTTTGAACATAAAAAGTGGAATATTTTGAGAGAGCAAATAATTCGCGTTTATGAACGATACTTATAGATTTTTTAACGAAAGCATTAGGATACACAAATTATAATAATAAGATCAATCAAGATGATTAAAAGATAACCGATAAGGAAATTTTAAAATTATCATGAAGATGAATTCATATCATTAATAAAGAAAAGTATTTAGTTGATATGTCATATCTTTTTAAAAAAATCTTTTCTGTAAAAATGATTGATGAAAATAACTATGAAAATTTTGTTACAATCATCACGTAAATATTATTATATTCTTCATATCTGTGTTATTTAAAAATTGACCTACATGATAAAATCAAGTCTGTTAGAACAAATCGGGTGCTGTAAGCTGCTTACCAATATTAATATTGATATATGAGTTAGTATTTGGATAAACTTTATTATTGCCATAATTTTAAAGAATAATTAAAGTATTTTCGACATTGATTCTTGATATGAAATTTCTGAGATGTCCCGTATCAAAAATCCATGACGAAATACCTTCGATAAAGCCGAAACAGTTCTACGACATGTACTGTATAATAATATGTATAATGGGATGATTCAGAATTAGCTTATTTTTAAAATAAGCAGGAGTTTAAAAAATCCCATTTCTGTTTTGAGATTCTGAAATCAGAAAACGAAATGGATGGATGTATTCTTCTGTGAAATATTATCATCGTAATTTATAATTTATAAATCACTTATTTCAAAACAAATACGTCACGAAATCAGAAACCTGAGCATTAATTCTGAATCAACCCTAATAGTAACATTACAGGTAATTAAAATTAATCTTATAGCTATATCACGTAGTTTAAATTTAAATCTACTCAGATAGATTTGATCATTTTTGATACAGTATTCAATAATTTCGTGTGAATAATTAAAACCTTCATGCGGCAAATAGTAAAATTATTAGAAACAAAAAAATAATAGACCATTCATATATAAGATTTTTCTATACTTAGCCATAATAAATATTCTACAATACACTTTCAATTATGTTCAAAATCAAGGCTGTTGAAAATTATTGTAAAGCCATTGTTTAATATTTGTTTAAATGAAAGTTCAAAACAGATAAAACTAATATAGTAAGTTATATACAGCACTGAATGATTACCAATATCAAAATAAATCAAATACAGTGAAACCTCTCTTGGGTCCAGATTTTAACAACGTACAATAAGAAAAAGTGCATTTTATGAAGGTTATGTATATATTAGGGCCAGAATTGTGTGTGAATTTAGAGAGGGTGTGCACCTAGGGAGGATGCACTTCGAGAGGTTCACTATAGTGACCAGGCCAAACAACGAGAATGTCGATTCTAGAAGTGGCCAGAAGAAGATAATAAATAGGGGACAAATACATACTATTCTATAAATAAAACATGAAATCTATCTGATTTAAAGGGTCCCACTGAATCACTCAACCAAATTCCCGCTGATAAAATGTGATATAACAAACAATAGAAAATAAATATTCAAATGCAAATCGTCCATACACTCTAGGTATATTGCGCGTACCTTATAACGTAATTACGGACTCTCGATCTACTTCGTCATATTTACTATAAAACTTTTACGAACATTTGTGTGCTACTTTAATGTAAATATATTAAAAATTTTTTAAATTTTTATTGTAAGCAATAAAAGTATTATTTTGAACATGTAAAAGCAATATTAAAAAATTAAATTTAGGTTTTGTTTTATATTTGTATAATAATTGTATATATTTTGAATAATAATTGTTTGAAAAAGTCTAATTTTATCATGAATATTTATCACAAAAAAAATTTTTACACAGAAAATAAACAAAATAACACTTTTTTACACAATAGTCTTTTTAATATACATATAAATTAGACAAAAGTTAAACATTTTGTTTTTATAGGGAAGGTATATCAAGCACGATTGAATAATACCGTAAACTGCCATACAAGACCCAGATATCAGATCCCCTATTAGACCGGGTGTGAATCTCAATCTACAATAACCAAATGCAGTTTTTTTTTAAGTATCTAGGCTACTCATTATAAATGAAAAATATGTATGCTTTTTAAATTATTCCTTCTAATATACAAACTCTCCACCAAGTATTAGACTCGGGGTTTAATATTGGTGAAATGTAAGAGACACAGTCGCAAATTATAATTTAATTATGATTATGTTGAAAATTTCTTGGGGCGATTACCACAAAAAAAAACACAAAAACGCGTGTATTGATGATTTTATGGAAGCAAAACAGAATATTATAAAAAATTTATTTTGTCGACTTTATATATGGGCCCAAGTACTATAAAAAGAGATGAATTTGACAAAAAAATAATACAGTATTTGCAAAAAATTATCTCAATGATTATCTAAAACTATAAGAATTTTTTTTTAATTCTATAAACCATAATTAGATAATCATTGAGATTATTATTATTTTTTTTTGTTAAATCGTCCTTTTTATACGTAGTAACCGCCCATATAAACATATAATTATTAGACGGTATACCTGGATAGAAATATATTATAATTTATCTGATAGCTCGATGTTTTAATAATACCCGAGTAGTGATTTTTTTTTACAGGTACAATAATTATATGTATTGCACGTTCAGAATTATCTTCTAATAACTGCAACAGACATTCTTATAGACGGAGTCTATCCCGCCCTGTAATTTAGAATGTCGAATCCAACAGCTCCGATCACACTCTAGAAATGTTGTCGTTATTGGTGACAAGTCGTCCGGGATTCATCTGAAAAAAACGGGGGTTGGATCGGACATCCTTAAAGGTATTCTATCTGAAAGAATAATGGTTACAAAACCCGAATACACTCTACATGGTAAAACGTTAGGCAGAACGCACGAACATCACTATAACATCTGCTAAAAGGGCCCGCATATATAGCAATGACACTTCATCAGTTCTTGCGAATACGAACTTGAAAAAGGCAAAAAATAAATAAATAAATAAGTTCGGATCATAAATGTTTATTTAATCATCTCAAGAAATCTTTTTTAGCATCATCGATAATAATGTACCTTAAAAAGATTGCATCGGAGAAACGATATTTAACGTTAATTTGTAATAATACCTTGATTCATTGGAGATTAACGGAAACTTATTTCCGCTTACTCACATATGGATCAGGATATTATTCATTATCCCCCAGAGCTTGGCATAGTGATCGGGATTAATAATATCAGAATTTGCACTGCTGCCTTAAACGTCAATCACCTCGCATGGTCATATGTGCTCAGGTAGGTTAGAAAAATGTCGAGGTCTCGTGACTTCCGACCAGATAATTCAAATTACGTATTACGTTTAAAAGACTAATAGTTTTTAAATGTACATTATAATCAAATAATTACGTACATTTAAAAAACTATTAGTCTTTTAAACGTGCAAAGCGCAATTTGAATTATCAGGTCGGAAGTGATCGGTGATCACGAGGCCGCGGCATTTTTATATCATGACTAACCTACCTTATGTGTAGTTCAGTTCATAAATATATGTTTAATAAAACGGCGTTTTCTTACGATATTGTAATGAAAAAGAAATGTATTGTGAAAATCATTCGCGGTTTTATAAATTTACTTCACACGTGGTAGAATAATTTTATTGGTCATCACACGCGTACTCTCTACTACTACTAAAAACGCATTTATAGAATATTACGATAATATTAAATGACCGATCAAATTATGTGCACTTATAATTATAGGGAAGTGCATGAGTCGACTGTATATCATTTATCGCAACAATAAATTATGTGCTACATTAGGATTCGCGTTAATTCGGGACGCCCATGATCGCTAATTTGAGAACATATAAGCAATTTTTGAAGGATCTGATTTTCCAAATAATGTCCACGAGCTTATTTCGCACTTATACGGTAGCACAATTTGAATTGTAAAAATAAATACTATTTATTTAATTTCACACACTGAATATATATTCTTGACAAATAATTACAATGCGAAACTTTTGAGAATTAATAAAAATGTCTAATAATTGTCGAGGTCACAGACCTTACAAAACATCTTATGGAATGACCAGGATATATAAATAATAATAAAAAAAAATGAATTCATTTAAAATGTAAAGAATTATAGCCGAATTTCGAATTAAATACAATAGTTCAAAATGGAGTAATAATTTAATAGCGTCAACTATGCTCCGCATAATCCCTAAATCTATCATCATTAAAAATTACACATTTAAATGTCATGTCCTTCTAATATACTCTCACGCATCAAAATAACCCACCTGAGAGAGTTAAGACTTGCACATTTATTCACATGCCAATTTAGCGTCAAAACTTGTTAATGCAATGGAAAAAGCTTGAAGTGGGCACATTGGATACATAAAATCCATTGTGAAGGTTTCTTCAGTCACACGACCAAATTGCATTATAATATAGTCCACTAATAGAAATTTTGGTAAGTAAGTCTGTATATAAATTTATAATGTTAAGAAAAATATATTTGAATATTTACAATCATTGTCGTGCACTATTTGAAAGTTCTTGACGGAAGCCATAGTTACTCGACCATTGAAATTTAAAACATATGATTGTGTCTCTAAAAAAAAAAAAACCAGAAAAATGTTCAAAATTAATAATAAAATAAAACACATTGAGGTTATTTCAATTTTGATTATATTAAAACCTTCGTTCCATTGGGGCGATTTATTATGCAAGATTAATATATCTCGATGATCTCCGTTTTTGAATTTTCCAATCAATGTTTGTGATTCCTAAATAACGAATATGGATTGTTATAAAATCTTTTGTGCCTTGTAGATCAGACAATCATAAAAGTGTAAATCCTTACAGTAGTAGGTCGAAATTCTGGTCTTTCCCCATTTTTGGTCATGCCTAACAATAATACAGTCATTTTACGTGGACCTTTAAATCCAAGAATGTTTGGATCCTACATTGCAAACATATTATAATTATTAGTTAGACTATCACTTTCTGCGAAAGTTAATGCGCGCAAACAATTTTGTTGACTTACGTAAACCACAGCACCTAATTCTTCTCTAATTTCCATATCTGATAATTCAGGTTCACGTTTAAATGGACTACGTCCGTTTGAATACATAACAAAAGCTGTACCTAAAAAATTTGACCTATCTCAAATATATGTAACTTGATGTCGAAAAAATAAACTTTTATATATTGTAAATTAAATTATTTGTCCAACCTAACTTTCCCAACAATTTTTTTCGATGATGCAGCGGAGTCAAGTCGTGAAGTAGTAATAACATAATGAGAGTTTTTACTATTTTTCTTCTTTTTTGCAGCAAGAAGAAATGTCCTTCTAGGTTCATCATTCTCAATTGGTTCCTCAATGTAAAGCTCATATTGAGGGTAAAGTTTACCGAAACCCTCTTTACTCCTGGTTATCTTACAAAGAACTTTTTGACCTTGTGGGACTGGACTAACAGAAAATAATTTTAATAAATTTCAAGTTTATATTTTATTAACTTAATAAATTCATAAGATGAATATAAAAATTATATACTTCATAACAAAATCGATTACTTCTTGTTCAGTCATTTCGACTCTTGGTTTTGAGAACCTAAAAGTTTCAATCATTTGCGCGGTTGGTCGATTTACAACGACAGCACGTAATAATTCAGCCGGAGCAACGGGCTGAGATAATGTCGAAGTTGAACCATTAAACGAGACATTTGATCCAGTAGCATTTCTTGTTTGTAAATACTGATTGTAATTGCTCCTCTATAAAAAAAATTTTCGTATTTTTTTTGTGCATTGATAAATAAATTGGCTTATTTAATCAAAGAATAAAAGAAACGAAATTGAGCAGTACCCTTACAGATGGTCGAGAATTTTCACCAAGTTCCATTTCATCATCATCATCATCATCATCATCATCATCATCCATGACACTTTGTTCATCTTCTAAAGCACCATCATTATCTGATTCATTAATCGATAAATTATTGATAGCTGATATTATTGATGGTGAAATATTCATAGAATCTAAATATTTGAAAGGACATTCGTCAAATTCAGTCCTTTATAAGGCAATATTCATTTAGAATTACCGTCAAAGTTTCCATTGTTTCCAGTGGGTATTTGAAGAAAATTCGAGCGGTTGTTTTGAAGCTGTGGATCTGCGTCCATTCAGATTACAATGTTCCAAGGTATACGAAAGGATAAAAATACAACAAGAACCCCTTTTGTCAAACACGAATAAAGAAATTCACTCGGATAGTCTTTTAACGCTTGTTATGATATAAATTATTTTGATAGTGCGTTGTTTTAAATTTAATTTAGGGTTTATTGAAAGAGCGTAGAATTACAAATTGTGGATTTGGATCGTTAAGATAGTTACATGAGCAGAGAGCAGAATCGCATAACTGATATGCAGATTTTTTATTGGGCAAGAACAAATCAGAAAGATCGTTATACAGTATTTAATGATTGGTTCACTTCATTTGGGATCGGTAACCCGGATATCTGGTTGGAATAGTAATAGCTGTCCGGATATATTAACGTTAACGTTAACCGGTTAATTACCTGGAGTAAATAATTATAATTACTATTACTATTACAACGTACGAATAGAGCTTGATGGTTGTAAAACCAACCAGTTTTCAAACCACAGTTAAACATGTGTTCATATTTGGTACTTTTTACATTTGCGACTATCATTTATACTTGGTGTGATAATTGATTATGTGTTATGCTTTTCACACATTTAATAGAAACTAAGAGAATTACTCAAGTCTTAAAGGAAGAATTTCAAGGACGTCGAACTTATTTCCAAACATATATATGGCGGAGAAAATCTAAAAATTTCAATCGCTTTCAGTAGTATGCACTATTAAGTTCGATATACGTAGCTTAATTTTATTGATATTTAGTGTTAAGCTTTGTGATTTTCTGCATCAACACATCATTTTCTATCTCAAGAACTTGTATTCGATCGAATTCAGGTTTGATTTAAAAAAGGATAATTTTGAAATTCTGTTATTTTTTAATAAACCGAATTTTAGTAAGAACTGTTCTGTTGCCACAAGTTTATTTAGAATTCTATTGTACGTAATTTTACATGATTATTAATGAAATTTCTGTTACTGGTAAACAGGTACCAAAAAGCTTTAATATATGTGTGGCACATGACACCTAGATAAAAGAAACATGCATGTTACAATCAATGAAGACCCTTCACGTGCAATTTTCTTTCTTCATCAGATCAATTTATCTCGGATAAGTCTAAATGTGTCTTACAATGTATTGTACTCCTTATATATATCAACCGAATTATTTGATATACACGATCAAACCTCTAGTTCGAGTAGTCTAAATAAAATTACAGAAACGAACCTTGTAAACTTACGTATATATTATACCAAAAACTAATTAATTGGTGTGCGATGCTCCAAGTAAAAATGTTCTTCAAAAAAAATCCATTTCTAAACTTAGATGTGTTATTGACACGATTTTAAAAGGCATTTATTGCAAAAATTTATATAATATTGTTGCACCTGGAATGGATTAGGCTTATTAATCTCAACTCTGATCCTACTAATTCTTAAATTGTAACCTGCTTGAATTCATAATACAGTCAAACCTCTCTAAATGCATAGCCGAGGGGCGGCCGAAAAATCTTATATTTAGAGAGATATTGCATTTAAGGAGGTAAAATCTATATGTGTTATATAAGTTGGGGCCAAATAAGGCCATGCATTTAGGGAATAGCACTTAGGGAGGTCTTACTGTACTATCATCCAACTAATTAATTTGGGCAGATTCCAATTCGAGACAAGATATTATGAGTTATACGTTGAAGTAGGTTTAAACTTCTGAATCAATCTAAAGTTGATTCCGAATTTATTTAACTTTTAAAAATATAACTGTTTAAGACTATAAGCCAAATTTGTACTTTTTTTATATCGAACATTATACATCAGCAACCTCTAAAAAAAGACTTCGAATTTACAATTTTTGATTAATTTGTACCGTACGTAAATATAGATAATGGGCATTGCATCAGAGAAGTCGTAGAACTTAACATAAAGCAATCTCTTAAATTACATCGTATATTACCATACTTACGTGTGATGATTATGCGTATGATGCTTTTTCACACAAGTAATTTTGATAGATCTTATTCTGGGAAATTGATCGAGTTAAATCTATATTGTTTGATCTGGCGTAAAGTAATTTTTCGTGATAAAAAATAAAAATAAAAATATCGTTAGCCAACGCATATATCTTATCCAAGAGCTTTTAAATTGAATAGTCCCCTTGTGTACCTTGTGAGGAACCGGGTACTATATTTGGGGATATACCATATCGATATGAAAGTAATGAAAGTGGTGTTTGCAGGCTTACGTACATACGTACTGTATAGTATAATAATCACGTGTGATACAAGTTACAAAAAAATTGATATTTTTATTGGTGCAAAAACTTGCAATATGTCCAAAACTTTGGAAGAAAAATCAAAGAACTAGAGGGCCGCTTAAGTCTTCCATCAATTGGGTTGCGCTTTCTTAATGGATTGGAAAGCCTTACGAAGAGCACGAAGAAATTTTAATACAACTGAGGCATGAAATTGGAATTGCTTACTTAGGATATAATGGTAAGCTCATGTTTTGGCAATAAAGTCGAACTTATGATTTTTAAGAATATCACCGTGAAAGAACTTTTCAAAAAAGGATATTCAAAGTCGGGAAAGCAAGCCACTAATTTCTTTTACAAAAAACCGCATCTATAATGACAGTCAACATTGTAGTAAAGCTTTTAGACCAAATAAACTCTCGATTCAATCAAGATACATGAAACAAATGCTGAATGATTCTGGTATATCAAATAAGTATATACTATGTAAATCAAAATTATATACGAGGGGTGAAAAGTCCTTTTTACCCACCCGATACATAATAAAAATTTATTAATAAGATATTTATGATATTCAAAGCCTGGTCATAAATTTACCTAACCCACAAAAGTCTAAATGCCTACTCTAAACTATGACTTAATTTAAACTTTCAATCCACTTTTCAAATAATACAAATGAATTCCTTGGTTGAGAATATGGCACAAAATGCCCGGATTCAAAGACTTTAACAAACCATAAATTTTTAACTTTTCTAATTTCGCCAGCTTTTACTCCATCCACAATCCATTCTTGAAATACTGTATTCTTAAATTCATAGTGACGCTCCCACTTCAATGATTCAGCCACTTCGATCCCACCAAACCTTTCAAGGAATAATCGGTTAAAAAAATCTTTTTTTTTTGATAAAAGAAAATAAAATAAAAATATATTAGATGATAATATATTACCAGTTACAAATGTAATCAGCATCTCCGGTGAAGAACATTATTGGTATATTATTATGAAGAAGAAATTCTACTTGAGGCTTTGTAGAATATATCCTAATTAAAAAGAAGTAATTTATTATTAAAAGCCAATATTTTAATTCAATAAAAATCAAATGATTAGTTTTAAATAGTACGTACAAATCACCATATTTAGAAAATCTAGCATAAATTTCCCCATTAATTTCTAAATAACTTGTTATTTCAGTAGTATTAACACCAATTGATTCCATAACAAAAGGATCATCCAAGTATTTTTTATATACAGGATCTGGAAGGCCATTTTTGGTACGAATATCGTAAACGCTAACACCAGAGTTTTGAATAAATATCCCATTATAATCCTCCGAGCAAGCTATGGTAGCTGCGTTGCAATCATGTGCCGTATCGGTTTTGTAACATTCATCAACTGTTAATTGAAATTGGATCAATTATTTTTCAAAGTTTGATTACTGATTTATAAGATACTGTATAGAGGAAACATACTATTATGTTTGCATATTGTCCATTTATTACGCATCTCCTCGATTAACTGTGGACTTAACAAGGGTTTATCTGTACATAAAGAAAATGATGAGGCTTAACAATTTATATATCAATAGAGATGTTTAAAAAAAAAAAAAAACTAATTTTATACATGTATTATTCTCTGCAAAATTAACAAAAGACCCCCTATAACGTTAAAGGTTAGTAATGTATACTATCAGCAGTCCCTAGAATAAATACAGATGTAAACAAAACTTACGCTTGAATAGGAGGATCAACATAAGCAACTCCAATCCCGCAAGACTTAAGATTAATCGGTATTAAATCTTTAACCTTGCCAGTTTTGATTAGATTGTTATTTTGTATAATAAGTTTAGCCATAACTGGAACTAAAAAATGATGAAAAGAAATAAATAAATTATAATATATTATAAAGAATAATTCATGAGTACATTACCATAATGACCAGCATAAGATTCACCAAAAAAATGCAAATCCAAAGATGCATATTCTGGAAACCTCGTAAAGAATTTTTGTAAAAATTTATACACATCCGAGGCTGCTTGTTCCGATGTATTCACCATACGTGCTCCATACGAAAATCCAGCGCCAATTGGCTTTAATTTAAAATAAGTTTTGTTAATATTTTTAATAATCAATTTTAAATTGATACAGTATTAAAATACTAATAGTAAGCCCAGAAATCTAACCTGATCAATAAACAACAAATTTGTCACTTTATTCCAACTATTTTCGGACAATCTGCTTTGGTTCATATAGTTATCTACCTTGCAAGGACCAATCTCTTGGAACAGTGCAAACATTGAAGAATAGCCAGGTCCGCCACTAAACCATATTGTTAATGGCGAATTTTTGGGATTTTTATGAGATTCAAAAAACCAAAAAAACAAATTTGCATCTGGAGCGATTTTTAAATATCCAGAGTACTATTTTGAATTTAATAAATAGTGTATTTAATTGTTTACTTAGAAGATGCAAAAAATAATTATCGCTACGTGTAATACCTGTTTAACTTTTGGATCACATAATTTGCTTGAAACAATGTGATCACTTAAAACTTTATTCAAAAAAAATAAATAAATAAATATAGTATAAAAAAGTTACAATTCAAATTTCATTAACAATTCTTGGATCCTTACGCGGAGATTCACCAGTCGTCATATCATTTTTACTAAAAAAATTTTTAGGTAAGAATAGCTCAACAGCTAAAATGAATAATAGAGAAAACAGAACAATTTTTGATGAAAAAAAATTGGAAAATAATTTCTTAAAGATCATTATGAAGTATTAATAAATTAAAAATTGATACTAAACGAACACTAAAGTTTATGATTATAATAACTTAATTATGTTCGAAACCCTAAATATTTATTATATACTATTTACCATAAAATCCCGGAAGACAAATTCCCGAAAGGACTAATACCGACAAAGTTAGCCGGCATTAGTTATAATGTTGGCCAATTTATTCGGTATTATGTTCTTTCGGGAAAATTGTTTCGGGATTTTGTGGTAGAACCCTAAAATACGTTAGGAATACAATTTTTAAAGGAAATTCATAGAGTGTCAAAAAGAAATAATCTAAGTTATACAAAAACAATTGATTGCAATCCAAAAAGGGAAGCTAAAGAAGCACCCTAGCTAGTTATGTTAAAAACTCGGTACAAATATGCAGTATATTTGCAGTCTTGTTGTTAATTTTGTGCAAATAACGAATTTTTAATACTTGTTATACATTTTCGAATGTTTCCCCACTTATATCTACAGCTCTTGAGTATTTAAATAGTAAACGGGTTATCATAATACGTTTATGCATAATTTACAAAAGTAAATAAAAAAAAACTCATTTCTATTTTTTAAATCAAAATTTTACGGCTTTTTACAAATATTATTCTAACTTTAAAATTTTACGTGGGGTGATTGAAAGTTTTGACCTTAGATCCATATCTCAATCATTTTTAAAGATATAGTTTTAAAATTAATATATATGCATAGATTAGGGATGTTAAGTGGTGCGTCTGGTTCGGTCCGGTCCGGTCCCCCCAAAAGTCTGGTCCAGGACTAGTTGAAAACGAGTTCAC